GATAATTGTGCCGCTCATCCGAAGGACTCGACATTTCTACGAAATGTGAAAGTCGTGCAGTATCCAGCAAATTGCACGAGCGTCTTGCAACCGCTTGATTTGGGCATCATCAAGTCTTTCAAGCAGTTGTATAGAAAGCGCCTTGTGCAAACAGCTGTATGTGCAATGGATGCTGGGAAGGATGTCAACATGAAAATTGACGTGCTACAAGCAATTCATTTCACAGTGGCAGCTTTGCGGCAAGTCTCCCAACCAACTGTTGTGAATTGTTTTCGCAAAGGTGGCTACGGGTGAGAACTTCGCGCACAAGCAGACTCTAAGGTCAGTGTGGATGAAGATGAGGATGAGCATGATGGCTTTCACGAAGACTGGAATCGATTTGGCGCCGTGAAAGACGTGGTTAAATTTGGTGACTACGCGGCAGTAGACAGCGAGCTTGCTATATGCGGAGTCGACACGATTGATGAGTTGTGTGAAGATCGCGAAGGGGGTGGGAGCGGTGAGGAAGAGGAAGACGACGAATGCGAGCCCGAAGCTGTGCCGAGTTTTGCCGAAGCACACGCTGCATTGGCAAAAGTGAAGTCGTTCTTTCATGCGCGTAATATTAGTGAACGTGATGAGGAAACATTTTGAACGTGGAAAGTGCTCTCTGTTTGGTCTAAAACGGTAAAGTTTCGACAAACCAGTTGTCCATTAAAGACTTTTTTGGTAAAAAGAAGTAACTTTGAAAGAGAAACATTGTTTTTTTTAAATTTTTTAATGCTTTCCCGCATCTATCGTTTTCCCGCATTCATCGTTTTTATTTCCCACCCCCGCCGAAAACGTTGCATCGAGGTTTTACTGTAGTTGGAAGCCTGTCACTAGATGGAACCATTGTTCAGTAGTTTGCTGACATAGTGCTGCAGGTACATTTATTTTATGCATAATATTTTGTCTATTCATTACAGTTGTTATATCTTTATAACATTATTTTGAGGCTTTTACAAGTAGTTGCAATACTCATTTTTTGGTATTGTTTTGTTATTAATTTCAAACGTTATTACTAATTTCCCCCTCTTTTTGTGGGTTTTTCTTGGTATTTTCTGTTTTGAACCAGTGGTGGTGAACTCCACCACTCGGGCTTCAAGTTTCTGCTTCTAGTAACACTTTACATATTATGTGTGATCCTAGTATGGCTGTTTTTATGAGGAATCTATTTATTGCTTTCCTTGTATTGTTTCAAAGTACTTTTTTAGTCCATTAGTTACAATTTCTGTGGCTCAAATGATTTCTGGCGTGGCTAAACATTTTGTGTTCCACATGCATTGAATTTCTATACATAGATTTATGTATTTTAATTCCTTTTTTCACTCCTGTGTTACATTACTATATGATAGTATTGCTACATTAGTCAGAAAGCAAATTTTGGCCTTATTTTTAATTATAATGTCTGACCTATGTGCCAGAACTTTCCTGTCAGTTTGAACCCCTTGTTTTCAAAGTACTGTTATATCTTGAAGATGTTGTCTTCTGGATTATTGCGCCGTGTAGTATGGTAGATTTCCACCGTTTCAGAGGTCATTCTGCCTCCGTCATCAGAGCCCTGATGACGGAGGCATCATGACCTCTGAAATGTTGGTGGAAATCTACCATACTACACGCGGCAACAACCCAGAAGACAGCAATTTTCAGACTCACTGCCGTGAAAACCTCAAATCCTACATTGTTATATCTTCATGTTCACATAGTGACTTATGTACATCTAAGTACCAGCTTTCTGTTGTTTCAGTGCCTAACGTCTTACATATTGAATGATATAGATGTGTACAGACTTTATAATGTATTCTTATATATTTATTATTTTCCAGAATGGGACATCCTGATATTTGCAACATGCTTTGTAGAAACTAGTGATATTATGTAGGTAATAGCTCGTACAATTAGTTGATAGCGGAGATTGATTTCTTTATTTGACATACACATGACATTTGCTAACAGTTCTGTCTTCCTGCATATTTTCTTTCTCCTGCTTTTAATTAGGATTCCTCAACTTAGACTACGTTGGTAACTCTTCCCTTGCTCACTGTTCGTCATACTTTTTTATGAACAATTTCTAGTAGGAATTTCATGACAGAAGTTTAGCACACATTCCTAGGTGATATTTTCTTTTCTTTGAACATTTATATAATATTTTCAGGGTGGAAATTGCAGGATTAAAGACAAAATATATTGGAAATTTGTTGTTAGTCTCTTACATTTTAGGCCTAAATATAATAAAATTAGAGGTTTCTTTTACAACATAGCACCATAAATATCATAATTGTCTTTACTATCTTTTAATAATCTGTTTGGAATTCATAGATACTTGAGTTTGTTAAAAATTGTATTCAGTACACACGTAGGCTTGAAAACAGTAGTTCATGTGACATTTTGTAGTGGATACTAAGTAGCATGTTGACAAGAAATTCAGGTAAGAGAGTTTGATGTCGAGCATTATTTCACATTCATAAATTCAAAAATACTTAACTTTTCATGAATATTAAGTATATCTTTATTTGTATTACATTTCCATACCAACATTTGTTCTAATAAAAGATGTATCTGTGTTAGTTGTGTAAATTAACATTTATTAAATACAGCAGAAAGTAATTCTTGAATAAAAATGGCAGATGTACTAATTGTTGAGTATTTTATGCTTAAGATTGAAAACTGCTTCCTATCAAAATAAAGTTTGCTAGAAAGAAATGTGATGCCATGAGTTATGAAGATTTATTGGCAATAAAGACTTCTTGTTGGTCATTTTGAGTTTCTCTTGCCTTTCTTTTCAAATATTCACAAAAAGGAGCCATAGTTATGGATATAAAAATATCACATTAAGGGAATAATTCAGAATATAATGATTGTGGGATAGCTTGAGCTTTAATGCATGGGCAAGACAGATCATATATACAAGTTAGTACATAAATCTATAACAGCAACAACTCAATAGACTACATTAATTTACTTTTCTTTACAGCCTGTCAACTATTTTATAAGAGATAATGTCCCAAATAAGGTCTTTGTTATGACACTGTCCACTTTCATCAAGAAGGGCACAAGAGGAAAGGGTTTCCTGAAAATTACCCAAATAGAGAAACAAATCCCAGTGATCACAGCCATGTTGCTCCATATGTTAATTGCAATCCATATACTGTTGCTATTTATTCAAAGATTTTAATTCCTGCATCACAATATTTGGGAGGCTTTGTGCGAAACTAATTTCAGCACTGTAGGTCTGCATCTTGCATCTTTTATCTTCAGAAAACCCACCTTGCTCCCCTTACTGTAGCACCAAAGTTTAATGCATCTAATTTTCTATCAATTTTATCTTGTCTTGCAAGTGCTGCTCTTTCCATCTGAGAAAGTTTCACTTGTTGCATTTCCAGCAATTTCTCTCTGGCTTCAGCCTCTCGTTCTAACCTTTCCTCTAGTGCATCGGCCTGTCTTTCCCGTGCTTCATCCCTGGCCTCAGCTGTAATCTGATGTAATTTCTTCTGAAACTCATCTAAGATATTCCTTTGGTCCTTTGCTCTATCAATAGCTTCAATTTTCTGTTCAAGTTCTCTCTCCTGCTTCTCATGCCACCACTCTCTTTGTTGTTCCTCTCGTTCTAATGCATCCTCCAATGCGTCCTGCTTCCGTTCTAATGCATCCTCCAATGCGTCCTGCTTCCGTTCTAACGCATCCTCCATTGCTTCCTGCTCTCGTTCCAATGCAAGTTGCACTGCTTCTTGGATCTGACGATCTTTTTCCTCGCGTTCTATATTATCCAATTCTGCTTTGCCTAAAATAAAAATTAAAATGACAAAAATGATCAAAATATTTCATATCGTGAGTAGTAAAACATAGGAATTTTCCATGTGGCACACAATTAATACAAGTACTAGCAATAGTGGTTGAACATGTATAATGAAGGAGAAAGACAGACATACACAGATTTGCAACAAGTGGGTTTACACAAATTTTCTGTAAACACAACTTGTATTATTTATTGTATGTGGAGAGTGTTAAGCAGCTACCTACATATTTCACTGTGTGCATCATCAGGCTATAAATATCTTATTCATATTGAGGAAATGTTTGTAATATAAACATAGAACAAGGTTTAACGTGTAGGTGCTTAATATTTTATATATTAAACACACACACACATTAAATTAAATAAACTGTGTTCGCAAAATCCATGTGTAACTTCTCTTCAGAATCTTACAATAGGAATGCATCATTATAAGATCTACATAGCTTTAGTTTGGTTCCCATGTTTTTATTCTTTCGTGTAACACAGTCAATACATTTTCACGGACGTATTATGTTAGGATCCAAACTCAAAATATTGCATGTTCCCCAGGTTTGCATCATTGATGGTATGGAAAATTGCAAATCTTATGTGGCATTTTATCCCTTTCATACTAGTAAAAAAAATGTAAAAAGTAAAGTTGCCCCACTATATGCCGTGTAAGTGCTTCGGGAGAGTGGACGTATAGCTCTTACTCCGTTGCCTCGGCTCTAGATAGTGGTGAGTGGTTAGCGTGACGCCATGGCTGTGCTTTACCCCTGGGAAAAGACCGTGGTACCCATTGGATAGGAGGCTGGGTGGGCCCCAGAGCTGGTCTGGTCACAGAGGCTAGAGGAAAAACCCTCTGCCCCCATCGGGGATCGAACCCCGGTTGTCCAGTCTGTAGTCAGTCACTATACTGACTGAGCTACCCGGCTCACTTCCTTTCATATTAGTTCTATAAAAATTGGCTGTTGATTTTAATATTATTAACAGGATATAGATCAAAACATGAAGACATTCCCAGGGATAATAATGTCAAGCACCATTTCGCTTATGGAATACTGAGAGTATTCTGAGGATTCTCTGATAATTTAGGAATGTAGTCTCATTTGAAATGTCTGCTTTATTTGCAAGCAAATCCTTTCTCTATTCAACAGCTATTAAAATCCTTTAATTTGTCAGTCTATCTTACTGCCTACATACATTCATGCACGGGCCGACATAAGTACGTACTCAGTTTTCTGCATGACCTCTTAATGTTTACTTTCTTTCCCACTGTTGTTAAGTTTCTTATGCACATTTCGCCATTTGCTATGGTAACAGTTTCTTGTCTGTTAACTTTACCTGTAACAAATTCATAAACATTAATGAATTGTATAATGTTGTTCTGGATATGACAATGTGTATTCTTGCATATGGAGACAGCATGTTTCTCCAAAATGCTAGTATGTTACACAGCATTATAACCCAGAACACCTTTATTGAAGTGAGAATATCATATTCTTACGTTAATGAATTTCATATTTAGTCAGCCATTATTCTGGGGCAAGAAAGATGCTTCTTATTTGGTATTTTATTTCAATTGCAAAACTTACCTTGAAGTCTCATATCAGCATTAATTTAAATTATCATATAATTTCAGTTAAATTCATACATAATAATTACATTCAGTGATCACATGTTTGGTACCTAGTGCAGTAATCATAAACTTATAATTTCCTAAATTTACAGATTTGAATTATGTGTGACAGTGTAGTTGCATATCAAAAGTTTTGGTTAATGATGTGATTTTTTTCCAAAGTTCACTGATTTTAATATGTGAGATTAGATTGTTTTTTTTTCTTCATTTGCAGTCTATGTCGGATTTGTGATGGAAAAAAAAAATGCACTGGGACAGGTTTTCCTCCAAGGTCTTCTTTTTTTCCCTTGTCAATTTTATTCCACTGCCACTCCATATATATTCGTGTATCATCTGGTGGTTGGGCAATGGGCCCAATAGCAGCCACAGTTCCACAAAGCCATAGCCTACCCCATTTGCAACATTAATGACAATATATAGGATTGTAGGAGATCCATCAGTGGTAATGGAGTTGACATCAGACCACAGAATCTCCGAGTTTTCAATTCACGTGTTACATCCAATAAATAATCATTTATTGCTGCTCAAATTTCCATAGCACTTACGTGTGTGTAATATTCATGAATAATGCCTTTTCCTTTGTTCCAAATTTCTTACAAGTTAGTGGTACACGAAGAAAAACGATGGCAGTGACCATGATAACAGACTGTAGTTAAGACTATAGCATTTTTTGAGAACCAAAAATGTTGTAGTGGTAATGCATAGTAAACATTTAGACATTACATCACATTTGGGTGTACCAACAGTTAAAATTAAAGTTTCTCATTTTTCGGTAAAATAATTATTTGTTATCTGCAAGGAAGGAAAAGTTCAGAATATCAAACTAAAACATAAAGGAAGCTCATATAATTGCCTTCTAAGAGAATGAATCATATTGACAACGCATGTGTTTAAATAAGTTGAAAGTTATTATATTATTATATACCATATATATTGATGCACCGTTTGTCAGATGTTGCATTGCCATTAACAATGGTGGTAAACGCTATACAGCTGCTACCAGGGGGACAATGGAGTCCATTGCACCAGGTCCCGAATCCTGATGATGATGATGATGACGACGATGAATGAACTGAAAGAAAAACACAATTTTCATGTTTTTATTTATGTGGTCTAGCGGTCAGAACACTAGCCTTGTAATCCTGGGGTCCCGGGTTCAATTCCCGGTGGTGCTCAGATTTATAACTTGTGTTGGGCAAGGCCGTGGTCTAGGCATCACGGAGTTTTCCTCCGGGGGCTTTCCCGGTTTCTCCGTGGCATCCCAACAATTACTCCATTCACACACACAGAAGAAGGCAATGGCAAACCACTTCTGATCATCTGCCAAGAACGTATATACTATGTATGAGCAGGTCCCTGACAACCTGAAGAGGATGGAAGGATCCTGTTCATAAAATATGGACCTGTCGACAGCCAGAACACTAAAAAAACCCAGAATGTTCTGTGAAGTGGTTATCACTTCTGCTTCATATTTGATTGGTTGTGGGATCACATTTCAGTCCTAATACCGACTACCAGGAAAATGCTTGGATAGTATAGTCGGCGCAGTAGTTTTTGGCCGGTGGAGAAGCTAGCGGAGCTGGTGGACGGGCCTACTCTGTGTACCTGAGGTGGCACGGTCAGTGTATTTCTTTTGTTTGGGCGTTCAGTCCGATAAGCTCCTCGGTGCAGTCAGCATTATACTATCGCACAAATGACTCGCTCCTAGCCTTCCCCTTGAAAATTTCACCGGCCAAAAACTACTGCGCCGACTATATCGCAACCCTTTCAAGCATTAAATTAATTTAAAAAGTATTTATAATCCAATTCCTGTCTCAAAGAAAACACGATGTATCTTCAATAGAAAGATCAGTTAATTGCTGTTCTTTAATAAAATAATTGCTGTTTATTCTGAGAATCATAAGAACCTCATGAATACACTCAGTGGGCAAAATGTAGAGTCACTGAATGTTAGAGTACATATATGTACTTATGTGCTTTAAAGAGCTAAATGGGTAGCAATTGCTTCATTCCACCTCGACAGTTCTATTTTCATAATTCACTTATCAGTTGATATATAATCATTGCACTAAAGCTTAAACAAACTGAAATAGAAACCTAAGTTATAGTTAGTTGTAAGATTTTAAATTACAGTCCACAGAGGAAACAGAGTTAAGAGGACGTTCATGTTGATATCTGTCTTCTGGGTTGTAGTCTGGTAGACGTTTACCAACATTTCAGAGGTCCTTGCTACCTCCCCATCGTCCTGATAATGGAAACAGCATGGACCTCTGGACTCAACACCGCGAAAACTTCAAATGCTACATGTGATAGAATATTATAGAATTTATTTATAGTCCATAGATTCTTCGTAATCCCAAGCCAAGGATGTGCAACATGTCATAACACAAATACAGTATTGTTTTCTAATAAAAAATGATGTTCTGGATTGTGACCCTGTGTGGATTCGGTAGATACGTTTCAGAGAAACATACCGTCTCCATCTTCAGGGCCTCTCGAATCAATATACGACACCACATGGCACTACAACCCAGAAAAATATAAAATTATGGAAGTAAATCGTATAGGTATTTTGAATGTCAGTATCTGGTAGCAACCACACATTATATTTTTAGTCCTGGTTTTAAACAAACAATCCGGCGACATCCATTTGGCATTATTGCATTGTGTAAGTATCTCAGCAGTGTTCAAAATAAAATGTAATGACTATTTGATTCTCCAAATGTGTCTGAGATATTCCTCCGTAACGGAACTAGCATGGTAATTTGTTTACAGCTTTAAATTTCGTAAAGGTCACTCATACGTGCAGTTTGCGTTCCTGCGAATCGCCGTGAAAATCTAAAACGCGCTAAACGGGAAACGTTTTACACACCCGTGTATTGTCTGATACACCATGACAGGCCATAATTTGTTCTCTCTAGAGTCTG